CGAGCATGTTTGGTGTGACGGGGATTCGAGCCCGCGACCCTCAGATTGCGAGTCGAGCGCCTTAACCACCTGGCCATGCCGAGCCCTTTACCAATTTATAGTGTATAAAATGTTCTCTAATAAAATAATTTTGTTGTCCTCTCTTCTGTGGTTTATGGTATGACAATGGTATAATATTTTGTCCCTTACCATAGCTTGGTGTCTTATCATTGGAGTTCTATACAGCTAGGTGCTCGGGGTAATCCACTACTGACTCCACTCTTGGGGATACTCTGAAAGTAGTTTAGACAGGAATCTCTGGCTTTCCAACTGGTCAACTTACTTTTGGTGAAGTTTTCACTGATGTTGAGCAATTGGCTGTTCTCCAGTCAAATTCCTTCCAAAGACGGTCACGGGGGAAGACCATTGGTTTGGATCACCTGTTATGTTACACTCTAGGTTAGCTGTTTTCACGCACCCGTGCATCGTTGCTATTGTTGCTTGAAGTCAAACTTCTAGTGTTGTAATTTTCGTATAAAGCACGACATTTTCGGTTCGTAGACCGTAAAACTTTTCAAGCTAGTCTAATCACACATTTACACACTCTTTCTCAATGTCAATTACTCACAAATCAAGATGTGTAGAAAAACTTCCCAAGGTGAGGGTGGCTTCCAACTTTCCTTTTGCTGGAACTTTATGCCCTCTTGCTGTTCTCATCAATCCATCTTCTTTTCTGGGGCAATTTCCAGCCTTTGATTACTAAATAGGGCCAAACAATTGTAGCCATAGAACCAGTGTCGATCAACATACGTCTAGGCTTCCCATCAACAAACCTGGTGACTCGTGGGCTGGTTACTTTAAACAATACACTTACTTCTATTGGGACAGATTGGGTATTCTCAACCTCAGGATATAGTCTCTTGATTTATTATCCTCCATTGATTCCTCACAGTACTGGTTGTAATGCCAACGCTTCCTACACTTATAACAATTATCTTTTTCTGACATCATTTGGAAGGAATTTTCATTTCTTTCTACAGGCTTTTGTCTGCAGCTCCTGACAAACTGTTCTTTTAAGACAATTCCAACACCTTCTTTTGTGTGGTTTACTGCTTGAATTCTGGGTGAAAAGTTGGTTCATGAGAGTTGATATTTCCAAACTACTTTTTCTAATGTTCCCATAATTCTTGGATGGTGCTTTTAGTTGTTTATTTGCAACTTTAATTCATTCAAATTCCATAACCAACTAGGTAGATTCCTTTAATGTCCTCATCTACCATGGCATCTATAAATTGGCCACATTCCAACAAATTCATCATTTCACATGATGCGTCCAGATAAGATAATTGGGCAAGCTTTTCCAAATCTTCTACAAGTTTGACTAAGGTATCGTTCTTCCTTCTATGTTCCCATACTTCTCTTTAGAATTTCCGTCTGATTTAATAATCTATATCTGTTTGATTTAGAAGCCAGCCACAGTTCCTAATAGTTGTGTCGGCTTTAAGCTGGAATATTGCTTACAGTTGTTAGGACAGATCATTTTAAATGGGCAGCAAGAATTTCTTGTTCACCACTCCATCCATCTACCTTGGAAACTATTTCGAACTGAGCCCTATAACCCTCACGTTATTTTCCTATCACAAGCTTTAGATTTCAAGTAGGCGATATTGTTGAGTTAGATAGCTAAATTATGGAACTTTATTATGCAGAGATATAGATGGACATGCCTAGGAATATGAGAGCATTTTAATTCTACCGCACGTTTTAGAAACTCACCAAGAGATATGCCAAATTCACAAATAAAACTAAACATTCACTTACTTGTTAAATTTCCTCGTGTCTGCGACACAAATTAACACAAGAGGGAATCTTCAATAGCCACAGCACTTGAAATTCGTTTAGGCAGGATTAGAATATATTAAATATATGTTGTTTGTTTATAATTTGTTTAAAGCTACTGAAAAGGCTTTCCGTTTTCTGCCCACCACAGGTTTCGAAACCATATTTCTAGTGTTGTCAGTCCGCAAATATACCGCTGTGCCACTGGGGGACTTAAGTTTACGAGACCTTTCTTTTCCTTTCTATCAGCTATATGTTTGTGCGCGAACATTACCAAGCGCGTATACCCGATTCAATTTTATTACTCATTAGGATCTCTTCTAGCTTACCTTGAAATTGAATTATTTTAGACAGGATTAGAATAAATTAATCTACGAGACCTTGGGCGTGGTTAAATGCGTTAATCGAAAGGGTTTGACTTCCTGAGTCGAAAACTGTAGTTAGATGTCAAATCGATCAGGATATGACAGAGCTATGAACTAAAAGTTTGCACCTGACTTACTAACTATATCTATATCTATTAGTACTATATGCTTCTTCAAAGTTTCAAGAACATTCAAACAAATTCAAAAAAATCTAGACACTCAGGAAATTTCTAGGCGTCAGACAATAGAAAACAATATCAAACGTCTAAGGTTATGATTTTCAAACAGTTTACAATGATACACTAGTACAGTGGTTCCCAGCCTTTTCACCGCCAAGGACCCCTTTTATTATCATTTTTTCCCCCACTGACCCCATGTTTTTGAAAGATTCCGTCTACCCAACAAACTGTTTTTATTAACTAATAATTAACTAGTTTTACATTTTTCATTATCATATAAAAGACATATATAACTGAATGTGCAATTAAAAAAACAGCAGTATTGAAAAACATACTTGTTTAATGAGATGATATTGCCTTCGCGGACCCCATGTTGGAAACCACTGCACCAGTATGATCCAGTTTGTTTGGTTTGTTTCGAATTTTGACCGTTACGTTATAACGCCTCCACGGCTGAAAGGGCAAGCATGTTCGGTGACTGGGATTCGAATCCGGGACCTTCATATCGCGAGATATGCCAGGCCACACCGGTTGGAATAAGTGGGTCAGATGCCCAGACGAAATGATTACTAAGCGTTGTATAAATTTTATACTAAAAGAAGAAATGCATTAATAAAAATGACGACTGCGAGATTAACTTTGGCAATGATAAAAAATATAACTTAATCGGACTCGTATCTGCACGTTAAATACACACTTGAACATGTATCTAATTCCTTTCTTGGATCTGTATTCAAGCTTAAAAAACAACAATTCATCATAATAACTGTGGCAGTTTTATATTAGATCTTACATATGTTCCAACAACGAATAAATTGAAAACAAATAAAGTGCTTATCCCCAGGTAGTTGATCATAATTTTCTTTGCGTTTGAGAAGACACACAATCATTTTAGAATTCTTGGGGTTAAAAGAGTAAAAGACAATTATTGTACTTGTGCGATTCTGGGAAAGGGGTTAGTGGGTAGAGATGGTGAGAGGCTACCCCGCTGAACAAGTAACATTTGTTTTAGGATATAGATCACTGTATGTGCAGAGTCAGAAATATTCTGATACAATATACATGAAATATGATTTACTCAATGTTCATGTTTGAGCAGAATACGTTCGATGAATAGTAACATGATCAGAGTTTCTCTACGGGGGGTTCCACGAGATTTTAGCAAAATATTGTATATTAAATAAATAAATTGCTACATATTTGAAAAGTTTTATGTGTACTAAAAGAAAAAAAATGAAGGTTGCTAGATATTTATTTTATCCGGGACCTATTAGGAGAGGGGGGTATCTCTGTGACACCTCCCCCCCCTGGTGCAGTGGAAACTGTAGACTATATGTAGAGATGTCTACAGCAGAAGAAACTCTAGGTTTCTTGAATGGCATACGTACCTTTGTATCTCAAAGCTGATATAAGTTGTCGTTTTTTTGCGTCCTTGTGGGCCTATCGGTTCTTCACATAGGCATTCTGGTTGGTTAATATCAGCGGAGGTGATGTAAAGAAGTTGTAGCAACGGCAAGAGGATTAGCAATGACTGCAAGTATAGAAAATATTAGAGTTGCTTTTAGTTTATTTCATAGAACTTAGCTCCTTTACTGTTATTGGAATAAATATTCACTTGCTCAACCAAATCATTACTGTGCACTTGGCAACGTGCTGTTTTGGTCAAATAATTACTACTTCTAAATATAACTTATAAACCTAACTATTACTATTACACTTTAGAGTCTACATACAACCAGGGTCTCGATAATTTTATAAAATTCGTTACGAACCACTGTTCTTTAAATCGATGCACAATGACGATCCTCTCTCAGCCCCCCCCCCCCCGTCCTCGACAACGTGCACACTACATCCGCCAATCATAAACGTTTTGACATGTTTTTAAAAACTTGCATGTTTTCTACTACTGCATGGTTGAAGTTTATTAGCTTCTAAAAGATATATACCGATTTTTAAAAGTTTTACGTGTTTAACGTCTATTGCTAATACGCGAAGAAGCTCCAAATATTTCTGCCTTTTCAACCTGTGCCTTCAGTAATAAAATAGATTTTCATTCTGTTTGTAAAGCATGGGTGATTTGTTTTTTGTTGTTGTTTTTTTGTAATTAAACTTGTAATAAATGGCTACAGATTCTACAAACATTTATAGTCCATTATTTATCAGTATTTGTCTAAATCGTTGCAACAGTCAATACGAAAGAATTTTATAAGTGTTTTTAATTAAAATGAATTTTTAAAAGGCGGTAATAAAAGAAAAGCTTTTAGTTATTCGGCAAGCAAGCTTCTTATAGCTCTAGAAGGGGTGGGAAGCCCGACGTTTCGATTTTACATCGTAGCAAAGAGTTGCAACAGTTGTGGGCTAGGTACAACTTGTGGCAATAATTAGAATATCAAGAGTTAAAGGTGGTTTATTTACGTATTTAAAATCTTCAGGTGCGTACTAATTACTGTTTATCCTGCAGAGATAAAAACTTTTAAATATTCATTCAGGTGGAAACTGTAAATATATCATGTGTTCCTGTTTTATACAAAAGGGAGCGTTGATAGTACGCAGAAAATAAACGATCTGTATTATTTCTCACGTACTTTGTGTGTAATGAGATTCACATGCCCCGGGAACTTTTGTTTCCTTTTTGTTCAATTCCTTCCTCTTTTCGATAAGCCCTTTGTGTAGCTTTGTGCTTAACTTCAAACAAACAAACAAACTTTTCGATAAGCCCTTTGTGTAGCTTTGTGCTTAACTTCAAACAAACAAACAAACTTTTCGATAAGCCCTTTGTGTAGCTTTGTGCTTAACTTCAAACAAACAAACAAACTTTTCGATAAGAGAAATCTACTTGTTAGCGAGTTGTCTTTAGCACTGCGGTATTCTTTGTTCAAACCGATTTCCTCAAAGGTATAGCTTTTTTTTATGCCTTTCACTGGATTCATAAATTAATCGGCTGTCTTTCTTCTCTCAAGATGTCTTCCTTCAAACAACGCGCTTAAGATCACCTACATGAATGTTTAAATTTAACACTCCTTACTTAACCATATAATCTTCGAGAAAAACTTGATATTTCTATGGATATGAAACTGTTTTGTTGTTCCAGTTGTTCTGGAACTTTAATTGTTACGTCGTGAAAATGAGACAGAAACGGAGGAAGAGGTCAACGCTGAACCTGACCCTCCCTGGTCCCAAAGATGGACCGAATCCCGATCATTTGTTTGTTTGAAGTTAAGGACAAAGCTACACAATGGGCTATCTGTGCTCTGCCCACCACGGGTATAGAAACCCTGTTTCTAGCGTTGTAAGTCTGCAGACATACCGCTGTGCCACTGGGGGCAATCTCGATGAAGAAGAAACAATAAGAAACTTAACTCTGAGTTTGTTTTTTTACAACAGTGATAACCTGAATAGTCATAGGGTGAAATATTTCTTGACTAGACGATCAAATTGGAAGCCAGTCGCAAACTTGTTTGTATGCATTAGGCAGCGAGGCGACAAGAGAACAAATGATGATGTTTGTCGGTTCAGAGAATCTTCCATGTAGTTGTTGGTTAACCGGATTTTTAACATAGGTTGTAAAAGAAGAAAAGGTAAAAGACCTTAGACAAAGTCACTTCTCTCGAACTGTTGCACTCTAGGAGAGAGAGAGAGAAAAAAAAGCAGTGTTTGTGTTCTGATCATAATGTCAGAGAACCTTTCCAGCATGTGTCGATTAAAGGAATTTAACAGGTTGGAAAAACGTGCAAAAATATAAAAATATATATACACGTAACTATAAAGACAGCTAATAGTTTATTGTATTTTGATTTTACTTGTTTAATTTTTTTTAGCAGATTGAAGAGTAGCAGTATTTACGTATAACTAACAAATGTGTTATAACAATAAAATAGTAAAATAACTTTAAAATAGAAAATCTTATTATAACAGTTCCGCCTATAATAATTAATGAAAGTAAGTGTGTGTCTATATATATAGCGGTAGGGGCATTGACTAGCTGTCGTCCCTTTAGTTTATCGCTGCTAAATTAGGGACGGCTAATGCAGATAGCTCTCGTGTAGCTATGCGTGAAATTCAAAATACACCAAACAACTTAGGCGCTACAACCGAAAACATATTTAAAATCTATAAAACTTACATGTGGTAGAGTATGCCTGCCCAGCATGACTGAATGTAACCATTCCTGTAACAATCATGTAACCTGTTACAGACAATACAAAATTCAATAATCACTAAAGCATACGGAGCTCCTAGATACGCAACCACAACATTCCTACATAAATATGTAAACATGTTGTCAGACAGACCTCAAAATAGATCAATAGATTACTTCCACAAAAATCTTAACAAAAATGCATCATTAAGAATGCCGAAAAACTTTATCATACATGATGAAAATAGACCTCAGAACCTCTCATCACTAAATACAGTAAACTCCTTATGTAACCTATGGCCACCTACTGGGTAAACTGGTAGCTAGATATAGTGTTAATTTTATTTTTTTAATAGTTTTTCTAATGTAAAAATAGGAATTGTGCTGTATGTTTTACATCGCCAGGTATGGAACTATTTTTATGAACAAAACTTTTTTTTTCGTTCGTTGTCAATGCAAAGAAGTATATACCAGAAACACGAAAAATCAACGTTGTACATTCGTGGATATGGCCTGAAAAGGGCCATTCACGTGGGACGAACGAACTGTTGTAACGCGCGTGCAGTAGCTGCATGATGTAATAATAGGTTTTTTAACTACCAGGCCGAATTCTACCGAAGAATTAATCTGGGCTTCATCCACAACAATCAACAACTAAGCCAACAGCCAAAGAGGGAAGTAAAGGTCCAGGGTGTACATGATCCTCCCAGGTCACTTGACCAAACGATCAATGAAACGACGACGGATATAACCATAGACTAGCGTTAACCATGTCTCTGGTCGTTCTCATTTAACACAGGAGAGACTGTAATCTCGATATTGTTTGGCCTACCATTGGAGTACACTAGCTGTTGACAATATTGCAAAACATGCAGCATTAGCCATACATTCCATGGGCAGAATGACAAAGAAGCAAACTCGGCTAGAACGAAGTCATCTACTCCAGGACCACGCGTTATGTGAAAACTGCATACACTTGGCATAAATGAAATATTCTAAATTAAAATAAGAAGGTTTTAGTTTGGTTTGTTTTGAATTTCGCGCAAAGCTACACGAGGGGTATCTGCGCTAGCCGTCCCTAATTTAGCAGTGAAAGACTAGAGAGAAGGCAGCTAGTCATCACCACCTATCGCCAACACTTGGGCTACTCTTTTACCAACGAATAGTGGGATTGACCGTTACATTATAACATGTTTGGTGGGACGGGGATTCGAACCCGCGACTGTCAAGCGCCCTAACCACCAGGCTATGTCGGGCCCAAATAAGAATATGATAGAAATACGTATATTCAGTCTTGTTAAATTGAACTAACCTTTACTGCTTATTCAACAGTTTTAGAATAAAAGGCAGTACTCACCGTAGACATGATACAAAAGAATAATTCAGAATGCGATACTTTCACTTCGACAACAATAGCACGAGCGTGACGACTTATATACTGTCAACACTTTCAACAAATGAGAGCGTCACACCTTTTGCTTCTGGCTTATTGCGCCACGGTTCAGCGAATACGGAGCGATAGGTACCAGAGGCCTGACATCCTTTCCATGACACATCTGCTATTTCTCACGAGCTATTCTCTTGCAACATTAACTTTGTTCAGTTTCACCACATAAACATAAAACAGTTTAGATCGAACGAATAAAATGGGGAGTGAAAGAATTGAACTCTTTTTGTATACAACGTTTACAATGCCAGAACATATACGAAAATAATGTTAGTTCTTGTTTGTTATCAAGCACAAAGCTACACAAAGGGCTGTTTGTGCTCTGCCCACCACAGGTATCGAAATCCGGTTTCTAGCAGTATAAGTACGTAGACATACCACGTGGGGGGGGGGGGAGGGCAATAATGTTACTTGAACTACTCAATGTACTGAAGCAATGCTGTATAAGTGAGCATGTTTGGGATATTATAATTAAAGCAGTATTTAAGACTCGTAAGTTTGGAAATAATTGTTAGTACTTTTCCACATATAATTATTTATATTATATTACAATCTGACTATAGAAACTGTGGACTGAGCTCATAAACTCGTTTTTTTGTTTATTTTTTCACAAACGATATTTTTCTACTGCATTTTGAAAAGATTTATTCAGTTTTCCTGTATCTTTAAATATTTTTGCAACCAATTGTAGAATAAACAGTTTTGCAGAATATTACAACTTTTTCAAAAATGTCACGTCTGCAGCTTACTTTAACTACTGTTTAAGGTAATAGTGAATAACTTTTTAATACGATGAATACCATTAGTTTAAGTTACTCCAGTATAGTATAACATTACGTTTGTTTGTTATGGATTTTGCGCAAAGCTACACGAGGGCTATCTGCGCTAGCCGTCCCTAATTTAGCAGTGTAAGACTAGAGGGAAGGTAGTTAGTCATCACCACCCACCGCCAACTCTTGGGCTACTCTTTTACCAACGACTGACCGTCACATTATAACGCACACACGGCTGAAAGGTGTGACGGGGATTCGAACCCGCGACCCGCAAATTGGGAGTCGAGCACCATAACCACCTGGCCATGCCGGGCCCATAACATTACGTCATTCGGTAAGTTATAATAATTTCTCATAAGTATTGTAATTCACGTTTACTTACTATTGTTTGTTTAAGTCTTTGGACTTTTTCGTTTCTTATTATCGCTTATGCATTTTGGCTAGTTAAGGTATTACACCAGGCTACACACTCTGTAAATTGACCATATTGTTTGGGGTAACGTTGAATTAACTCCGATACTCATAGTATGTCAGTTTAATACATATTCGTATTACATTTAGCTTTGGTTATTTTAATTGGAATATTATATTTTTAGCATCGTGCAATTTTTAGTGTTGAACGATTAATCGAATTTATACGATTACTTTAACAGCTATATTTCGATTCGATTAGCACATGAACCTGAGCACAGTTATTTGTTCACTAATAGAGAAATCAAGGGCAATACTGTCATTATCTAATCTAATGGGCAAATTCATAAGAAGTTATATCTATATATATATTACGTTTGGGAACTTTCGTATGATATTTTTTAGGTTATCTTTTATATCCGGTACTATCAGCGGGTCGGGTTTATTGACTTCATTGGGTAATAACTGTGAGTACATTATACCTGTAAGTTAGGCCGATCTGGAGTTCTGGGGAAACTCTTAACAAGCGTTGTTGTTGTGTCTTAGAAACAGCTAGACAGTAATTTCACAAGCACAGCAGGCTATCCTATTTTAGTTAGAAGAAAAAAACAACAAGAAAAAACTTCTCAGTTAGTAATACAAGGTGATGGGATCATTTAAATATATTGCAACGCACGCGCATTTTGATTTCCGCTAAAAAGAGGGGGGGGGGCTATCTGCGCTCTGTTCACCGCAGTGATCATAGCACGGTAAGTCCGAAGGTTTACCACTGACCCATCGGGGAGAGAAACCACATACAGATGTACACAAGCTATTTCGTCCTTATTCTTTCCGAAGAAGTCAACAAAGTAGAAATAGTTTGTTTTTGTTTTCATTTATTAGTAAGCGATTTTGTTTTCAATTTACTTTTTCTCTCTGTCTCGTATTTATTGAGTTAATGGACACGACGTCACCTTTTTTAAAATTATTTTCGTGTCTCCCTCTCTCCATGTACTTTTCGAAAAATTACTTAATTGGAATAATTCATAACCATGATTATTTACAAATGTCAAACCGATAATTGAATTGAACTGCAAAAGTAGTAACCTCTCAGCTCTGATAATTTTATTCATTTAATATATTTTCATTGTAGCAAAGCAAAAAGAAAATTAATGTACTGTCCTGCTATTCGACTATAATTAACTTACTACGACACAAGTTGCCCTTTACCTCGGACATGAAAGTTAAGAAATTAATGTAGTTTTTTTTTTTAGGTGAAAAAACCCGAACAACTTGTACATCAAAACAAAACATTTATTAAATGAAATAGTCTCCAATCTTATCGATGATGCTTTTATATCTTACAATCAGGTTGTTAATGCCCTGATTAAATAAATCACTTGGCTTTGAAGAC